TTAATATGTATTAATATTATTATTTTATATTAATAATCATTGATAAATTCATATTAATAATTAAAATAAAAGAAAATTGAAAAGTAGCTTACCCGCGGCATCTTTATTGTGTCTCAATACTCGATGTTCAAATTGACGTCGCGATACTTTCCCGCAAAAAGGACAGCAAGCGAGCGGTTACTTCGGCGACGAAGGAAGACGGTTGGCGGCGGTACGGTTTTCTCAGGGCTTCTCGACGGCAACCCTAACAGCGGGGGTGCGGTTGCTTGCGTTCACCACGGATGGCTGGACTTCACTGAGACGGCGTCGATGGATCGGCGTCGCGACGCTTCTGTCGCTTTGCTCCTGGGGATCCCACCGCGGGTGGCGGGATCGCGTGCCGTGCGCGGCGTCTGAACGCGGTTCCCGTTTGCGCCGCAGGTAAACGGGGACGGGGGTGACGTACACGAGGGTGTCCCAACACACGTACCCCCCACGAACGAGAGCGGCAACGTAGACGTGGTGTGAACATTTAAAGTCGAGAGAATCGAAATTTGCTACCTGGTTACGTATAAATGCAGAGAGAACATTCAACTTGATATCTCATCAGATTTTTCATTCAACGTTTACTCTATTAAAAAATGGCTACTCAAAAAGTGTGAGATTTTTTTTCTTTAATTTAAAATATAATTTTTTTTTCGTCTCTGAAATATAAGAAAAAGGCTAAGGATTAAGGCAACGAATAAAAAAAACAATTTTAATAAATATTTAGAGAGAGAACATATTCATATATATATTTAGTAAATATATTTTATTACGTTTTTTATTATAACATACACTGAATGTAATAATTTTTATACTCATTAAGATACATAATTAGCGCTAATTAATAATAGTAACATACAATTAATGTATATTAATTCATATATAAATTCTAATTTTGCTAAATTACATATTCTTTTCCTTATTTCGTTCTTCTCTTTCTTCTCAATACGATTAAAGAATTGGTTTTTAATTATTTTAAAACTGTTTGCACAAAACGAGAGAATTTTATTCCAAGGTATAAGACATAAATATCGAAAATGTCCTCGAATATCCCGATAATTGATGAACAGGCAATCTTTCTGTCCTGTGTGTTGATATCGCTTGTCGTGCTTGCTTATCCGAACTAGCCGATCAAAACTTTCTTTTCGTGTAATTGCCCGAAAGAACGACGAATATCGTTTCGTATGTTCGACCATGTAATTATTTCCTGCACGCAGGGAAAATATATTTCTTTCGTACTTATCGTCGATGGAGGCAATCCGCGGATGGTACACCCCCTTTCCGGGGTGGTTGGCTCGCTCGTATTATGCTTTTCCAATCTGGAGAGTCGTCTCCGCGCCTTTTCATGTGGAACCCAATGCGAGCTTATCGCTGCGGTCACGTCAGTTTGCTTTCGGAATTTGGCCCACAAGGGATATATAGGTTACATGGTACCGCGCATTCGAAACGATAAACCTTTCCCCCGCCCAATCTTTGCAAAATTCGGTCTTTAATTCGTGAAATGCGTTGTACCAACTTTACCATTGTCCTTCAGTTGCGGATTAAGAAAATTAATTCTTTATTTTCTGAATCGACTTTTTTAAACTAAATCCATATAAATATTTCTGTTCTACAATTTTACTTTATTACTTTCCGATTACATTATTAATTAATGGATGATTTACGTGTGGAAAGATTTATTGCATTATTACATGCGCGAAGTTACATCTACCCTCGCCTAATTATGCGAAGCGGAGAACGAACATTGTAGTAAATTAGAAAAATGAACTTCTAATTGCTGGCGTTTCTATTTTTATTACTTTTATCAGGAATAAAAAACAAAATAGAAGGGGATAGATTTACTATCGCTGGAGCCTCTATTTCCTGTCACGAGGCGTTTCCATTTCTGTCAGTGTTATCGGGACACGCGAAGGGTTAACGTCCTAAATTACAACAGTGGTAAATCTATCTGCGGGTTTAATGGGCGGACGGCAGTGTCGAAAATTCGTACGACACGCTGCTCCGGTTAACGAGGCAATGCCGATTATGAAATGTATTAAAGAAGGCGAATTTAAAGCGAATGTCGATAGCTACAGAAGTATATGCATCGTTTAATCGTTATATTGAATCACATATGACTTTACTACATTACTACAACACACGATAGAGCTAATAATATTAACTCGAGAATATTCACCTGAGTGTTTTTACCCTGTGAGAAAATGTATTATAAATTGTTATATCATTTCGTTTTATAAAATTTATTATATTAATTAAAATCTTTGTTTTTTAGAAATACTGTTATAATATGCTATTTAGTGCTTATTCCATTTAACATTTGTTTGGTTTCTATACTTTATTATTTTTTTTTTTAGAAAATTGCGATTAAATCTATATTTATAATATTTTCGAATATTATATACATAATATTAACAAATTTGAAAATATAGTATACAATATGTTATTAATAATAGCAATTTTTATTGGAGTTAAAATATCTCAGATTGTATACATAAAAAAATCAGATGACTATTCCCGGGTTAAAGAAAAGAATTCAAAAAGGAATAAAGCGAACACCTAAACATATGGGAATTAAGTATTGGTGCGAAACACGTTTGTAAGGATAGCCATCAAAATAGCCATAAACCTCTCGGGGTGGGCCGTCCATAAACGAGGACTCTGTAGTGGAGTCCTCGTGAGTACTTTGACCTGAACTTAAGTTTGACGAAGTTGTGGCCGATTCCGCCGGCGGTGACCCACGCCGCACTGTTATCTTCATCGGAGAGCGAGTTGATACGTATGCACGTGATTCTCACGTCAGTCGGCCCGTAATCCTCCTCTACCTCCTAGTTACAATTGAGAAACTTTTGTGAGTAGATTAAAGTAACTGTTTACGAGTGGATCGAAATAACTCAAAAGAGATATCGATATGCTACAATTAACAGGACCCGATTTGTGATAATTGTAAACGCACTTGATAACCACCAATTTGATACGGTCTCCTGACCGCATATTCCCAAATCAGCTCGTCATCGACACCTTCCTGACACTCCCAGACATTCTGTGCCGCCGCAAGCGAAACGGCACAGAGGAGCAGAAAAACCGAGGATCGGAATCGCATGTCTCCTCGACTTCCTTCGCTGATGGATGATGCGCGGGAAGAGAATACCAACCATTAACGAATAGAGATATTGAGGAATAGAAGTAAAGGAAAAAAAAAAAGATGTAGAACATACACAAAGGTGTGTTCTTCACTCTGCACGATCCTTCTGGATGATTTTATTGTAGGAAGACGACCACGGCGGTTTATTGTCAAGCGACCGGGAACTCCGGATAGCACTAACCGAACGAACGGTATTAATAACCGATACCACCGTTACCCACCGAAAGGATCCCCTTCTGGAATACAATATTTACTCGTCGCTTTGTAGTCGTTGAGATTAGATACAATGTCGGTATCGTATATCCGCCTGCCCGCTCTATGTTGTTCCGAGAAGAGCGGGCGGATTAATCGACGAGCCTGGTCTCTTCTTCTGTTACGCAACCCATGTCAAAATCGTACGCGGGTATTGTCGATCTTGATGACAAGTGATCAGAAACGATCGAGCTCCGGAACACAAACGGGATACGTGTCTATATATACACGGAGAAAAATATATGGTTGAATTAATTGATATTCTGATGAAAAATGAACGATCCAGAATTCTGAATAAATTCAGAAATAAACTCTACTAAAATTTCAGTATATTTAATCTAAGAAATTCTGAATGTTGGTTATCTCTTTGGTTAAATCTAATAGAATTCTAGTAGATTTGTTGACCAAAATTCGGGATTGTTTACTTTCCATCAGAATTCCAATTAATTTTTTCTCTATGTACTGTTAAATTCATAATGTCAAATTATATCGAATTGGAGTTATTTTTAATTATTTTTATAGATCGCTACTATTACTCAATATAACGTTAATTTTAGTAAAGCAATGAAGATAAACAATTTAATTCAAGAAGATATAATATATTTATTTTTCTAATTTAGTTTATTATTTATAATATTAAGTACATACGTTAATATGGACATTATTTAGTTGGAAATTAATCACAGAAATGGATTGATTTACATTTTAATACTTATGAACTTATTAATTAACTTAAGAGATTGGGTTATATTGCACCTGTAATATCTAGCATTGTATGATCAAATGAATTATAATACATCCATTTCTATCATTAGGTAGACTTTAATCATGGTTTAACATACTTTTTATCTTGTTCTATTTTTAAAGATCAGATAAAAAGTATGTTTAATCGATATTTGTTTCGAAATTTTCTTAACTGGTATTTTCGAGTCTAATGTACTTAATTCAAGGAATAAAATTATGTAATTAAGAAACCTTATAAAATGAATGAATAAAATAAAATATAAAGAATCTACGCTGTAATTGGTGCGTAATAAAAAGTGATATTAATAATTAAATCTTCGATAAAATAATGTGATTAGTAGTACATATAAATCTCCGAATATTTTGATTCCATTTTTGGACCATCATTACCGATAAAAATTATGAATTTATAAAAAAAATTACGTAACGTAAAATTAAATAAGATTGTGAAAAATATTTGTTATAGAAACAATTTTTTACAGCGCAATTGAAGAAAGAATCCGGATCCACTGGACTTGCAAATATTGATTAGGATTAAATCGAGATGAAAGAGTTAATCTTCATTGGTAGAAATGTGGACATTAGATGGATACGTTCCGTGCTGCCTGCAAATTTTCATGCAACTCTGAGAATTCAGAGCAAATTGTCAAACTGTCACGCGACTTATGAATTGCTAGTTGAAATCCAAGGATTTACAAAAGATTAACGAGAATTCCTGTGTCTTTATGTTGCGACGCGGTGTTTTTTTTGTCTTTTCCAAGAATGTTTCATGTTTCCGTTTGAACAAGGAAAGACGATATTCTTCGATTTGACAATGTTTTGTAATATTTGACCGAATTTTTTGATATCTCCAAATATATTCCAATGATTTTGCATGATTATTAATCAGCATCACGTGCAAAATTAATTTCACCAACCCTGACCTCGCTGACAGCGTCACTTCTGCAACATATCTCATCGATTATATTTATTCTGTTTATGTAAAACGCAGCTTTATCTGCTCAGTGAATTTGCGAAGCTATACGGGAATTGACTCTGATTATTATAAACCTGCAGCATGCTCATTATATACCTAATTAGTTATTAAACTACTATATATATATATAGATAATAGATGATAATTAGGAGTTTACATGTATCATGTGCTTACAGTTTCTGCAAAATAACTACAGTTGGAAATTTAAATTTCCCAATTTTTAAATAAAAATAAATTATTTATATACGTATAAAACAATTTAATATAGTCAATGTTTATACTGAACAATTTTATATTTTAAATGAAAATTTTCTTATTTTATCTTAATTATTTTTTTTAAACATGTCTACTTAAATAGTTTTTTATCAATGTTTTAAATACAAAATTTTATTTTTATTTTATTTATAAAAAAAAAAGTTTTATAAAAAAACTTTTTATAATGTATATCCTCTTAAAATTAATCACTGAAATAATTTTATCATAAACTCATACGGCTATTCCTCCCACGATGATTGATCATGATTCATAAAGTCAGATAAGAATGATTCAGAATGTTTGTCGCAAGAAACGAGAAGCTGGTATAGGGAAGAAGTATTTGATAATTTGCAATAAAAAAGAAGCGAAAAACGGCTCGTTATTAATAACCCATTTTAGCCATTTTCTATAGTCTTTCAGCACTAAGCATTTCAAAGCTCTCCCTAAAATGCCTTATTAATCCTATATCCTATACGTTTCAAATTATGTTTCATAAAATGATTTAAAAGTGGACTGCTACATAAAATCAACAGTGATTGACCGTATTTTGCATAGAGCGTGTCTCTGAAGTAACAAGTGCCTCTTTTTGGTCTAAACGGCGTGAAAAGCGAAGTTTCAAACGAAAGAAGAAAGGGAGTATTGAATTGTAAAATATTATTGCAACCAGTGAATGGTAGCAAGAGGTAACTGACTGGCAGTAACCAGACTATCGCTATGCCAGCCAGGTGAATCGGTTCCCACAATGCCGTGCCTGGAACCACGCGGCTCATGTTGCCTAAGGAAATGACTTTACTTCTTGTTCTCCACGCCTTTAAACCAAGTTAGCGACTTTTAAGTCCTTTTACTTTGGGCTTCATTATAGCGAAATTGACTTAGAGCTATCATTATTATATCGGAGTCATCATTATTACGTTATTCGGAGTACTTATACGTACGTCGTCTTAAATAGAAACGAAAGGAGGCATCGCTAGCTCTGTGAATGAGAGTCCGACTAAGTTTATGGATAAGATAGACGCCCTTATCGCGTGCTCCTCCTGAAGGAGAGTAAAAAATGAGGGAAGGGTACCGGCGTATATTGATTTATTTTACTAGCCGTCGTCAAGGAACTGCATTTCAATATTATCGCATGATAAAGCTGCGTTACACACTTTATTGCCGCCATTGTCCAAATCTCCGACTCACGCCCTTGCTCAGTGAAAAGAAGAAACGAGTCCACTCATGACTCTTATTTCCGCTTTCATTTGTAATGAAAGATGCAAGCTCATCAGAAAGTGAATACTTCGTGAGGTAGCTCGTATTTTACGCAATAGAATGGCTTCAGTATATCTAAATAAAATATATCTGGTGAAATATTTTCTTTCTGTGCGTGAGAGATGGTCTTCTCTTAACTTATCCTACTGAAAAAAATCACATCACAAAGTTACATAATCATGTAATTAAAATAAGTAAATTACATAATGGATTGTTCCAAATCATTACCTTATTTTTTAAAATCACGTAATTTGAAAAATTATATGATATCAGAAATAATATCATCTGTTATGTGATTTTACATTTACCGAATTTTAAAGAATTAAATAATAGGAATAAAAAGAAAAAACATATCATTGTGTAACTTTTTAAATTACGCGATTAAAAAAAAAATCATGTACTGATTTGGAACAATCCATGATTTTTTTCAGAAGGATAAACTTACTTAAAAATACTTTATACTTACCCAAAAATATTAGAACAGCTAGGAAATATGGTATAAATGTTACTTATTCATTTACCTTACAGAAGTATTCAAGTATATCATCATAAGTAACGATAGAAATTGAAATTGGGTCATCTTCAACACAACTTCACATTGACTTTTGAAGATAGATAATTTTCGTTTTCAAAGATTATTCTGTATATTTCGCGAAATATTTACTGTCAGTTAGTTTACTGTCCTTGTACTTCATCGTCAGTGACGTTCTCGGCGTATTTTCATCTCTAACATTTTTTATGCCGAGGCACATGGAGGAATTATCAGTGATAAAACTATCGCCAGACAGCTTTTGCATATCGCGTCTTATCAGGTGAATTTTTCCGCTAACTCGTGAACATTTCCATTCGTTGAAAATTTTTTTTACTATCAAAGAATCGATATTTCAGATCACTTCTATCAATTCATTGTAGTTTTAGATTTTAAAATTAGATTCTTGAGATTAGATATTAATCGAATATATGTGACATTATGTTTAATGTAGAAATACGAAGAATAATGATGCTTTTTTATTGGCAGATTTGATCAGTTCGATTTTTTCTACTAATTCGCGTATACATTTTCAAAATTATTCGTTTAAAATTTTTTTAAAGCCAAATAAGGTCATTAATTTTCAATTTGCATAGCAAGAACTCAAGAACTATGGCGTGTGTAATAAACAATGTATAACATAGTCGTAACCCCACGCGATCAATTATATATATTAGTCAAACCGAAGGTAACTGAGAGTTAATTTGACGGCAAAGTTAATTACTTGCATGGTGACGTTGACGTGAATATTTGTCTACTTGCAGAAAGAAGCGGTTGAGTGAAGTTTCGAGGAAGGAAGGAGAGGAGAGGTAGAAAAGGAGAAGAAAGGCTGATAATATACCGGCGAATCGACCTCTCTCTCTTTTCTCTCTTTCTTTCTTCACGAACCGGCGACCCCGAGCCGTCAAAGTCCGTCAGCCAGTGTTGCCCCCGGGTCATTTCATGTACATACAGCGAGGCATTATTTACTGCTTCACGCGTACAATCGCGTCGTGAGGAGATTGTGAATTCCATCAGCCAACCAGCAGCCCGTTGGTGAAACGCCCTCGTGTCCAAGATGCATTATGTCTCACTCCTTGGTATGAACAAACAATGATTTTCAGCAAACGATCAATCTGATCGATGATACGATCACGATGACATACACTATTCCTTCGTTATAATAGTATATTGAAAATCTTGACAAAAGGAAATCAAAAAGAAAAATCATTTTTTCCTTAAAAAAAATACTCCATACTAATAAAACTTGCAAAATTTTAGGAATATTTATCAGTATAAATAAATCTTATGATTTGAAAACATATGACAGTATAAAAAAGTAATGGATGTTGCTTACATGAGTTTTTAATTTCGGTGCTCTACTCTTCTCAGACTTTTTATCACCTTCAATTTTAGTTGATTTTTGTTGATTAATATAATCTTAATATTGAATAAGGATAAGAGATATGTGTTTGTAGAATTTATTGCAATACGAATGCAATAAATCATGTGGAGATAGGTATATATATATATATTAAGATATTAAAATAATTAAAAATATTTAAATATATTAAAACCATATATAGGACGTTCCATGTCAACTGGGCCAAATTTCTGAAATTGAAATAAGACGGTCAGGGAAGTTAAATTTTTCGTTTTTATATGTAGTTTAAGGTAGTTATACTCTAAAACACATTATTCAAGAATGTCTTGAAACTTTTATTTCAAATAATTTAGATATTAATACATATGCCTGTAAAATTTGAGCTCGATTTACTGTCCCGGTCCTGAGATATAACCAATCGAAATTTGCAGGTTTTTCTATATTTACCATTGTAGTATAGCCATTTCCGCTGTGATATGACACGAATTTTCATATAGCATCGAAATCGCATTGAAGAAGTTAATAAAAAACGAGTCTCATGTAGTTAAATTTATGAAGGGCATGTATAACAAGACCGCAAATATTCACCGTATGATATATTGAAGTTTGAAAATCAATAAAAAATCTTAATTTTATACATTCTCTCGAGAATTGGCGAAGTCTAGTAGGTATGTCGCACTTTCAATGACAATGCGATTGCCATCACATAGATATAGTATATCGCGTTTCTCATCAAGAGTGAAGTGTTATGCCATTCTTGTCGTTTCTTCGCAAGAGTCGCTTCGCATTTTTCTTTTCTTGCTAAAACTTTACTTTTAATATATTTTAGTTTATATCGTGATTTTACGGACATTTTTGTCTTTTATATAAATATTTTGACAGCGATGCTTCGGTGCTTGTGCCTGTCACCTGTATTCGTCTACTCGTAAAAATACGACATTGCCACGATCTAATTTCTCTTATGTTACTACGTGATACGTAGATTTTATTTTTTTTCTTAAATTAACTTATTTCATCATGATTTAATATTGCAAGTGTATAAAATACAATGTTTTTTTATTTATTCTAACTGCCATATTAATGCAGCCGCTTTGAATTTTAAAAAACGTTTTTTCTTAAACTATATATAAAAACGAAAATTTTTAACCCTTAAACGTCTTATTTCGATTTCACAAATTTTGCCCAGACACTTCTCCCCGTTGACGTGGAACGTCCTACATATACAATTAACATGAATGCCTTAACTTATTGAGGAATGACAAAATATATATTACATATAATTTAATATTTTTTAAAATATTTATTTAAAAAAAAAGATTGACAATATGGATTATATCATCAGAAATAATATAAATTATATCTTGAAGTTTTTCACAGAATTCTCTTCAAAGATAAATTTTCGAAATAATTCGAAAATTATGCGATAAAATAGATTGAACGATTCAGACAAACCTATATTGTTCGTCAATCTTTCCGATTAATTATATATTTCGACATGCTTGATCTCAAGAAACATTCGAAAAGTTTCATCAAGAGAAAGAATGTAATAAATAATTATTTGTTTTATTGTAAAGCACTGAGATACGTCTCAGCTACGAGAATCATTAAATCTGATTTAACATAATATAAAACAAATCGAAACGCTTTATGATTACTTATCGATATAAATACCTCGTGTTTTTTTTTTTCATATAAAAGAGAAAAATGATATCGGAAGGGTTAAGCCACTTCCATCGATTATGCGCTGATATTTACAAAACATGTACCAAGCAATCGTATATTTGTAAGCGAGTATTCTTGCTCGGCAAGCAAAGACAACATTGATATCGCCGGTGCCTATTGATCTGAGTATACGATACTTCATAAATAATCCTATCAGCGATTGTACGAACATCTTTCGCTATTACACATTCATGCACAATTTGCGATCGATCTTAATTTAATAATAATGGAAAATTAAAGATTAATCTTCTCTCTAAAATATCGTTAGTTCACACATTGCACGGATGATAAATCAGCATTTTTAAATATGAAATCTCTTCGCGTTGCAGTGTGACCTCCTAGCATCTAAGAAAAGCGATTAGCAGTGATTCGAGAAAATTGAATCGAGGAGAAGCCTTTCAGGCGATTACGGTAAAATATAGCGAGGAAGGTATAAGATTAGATTTAATTGGCTTCTTTTTCCCTCTTCTCGCGTTATTGTTACGGATCGTCGCTGTGCCAGTCTGCAGGGAAAGATAGGAGCATATTAATCACGCACAACGCAAAAGTCTCCCGTTTAGTACAATCAGTATTGATAACTTGCATGTGTTTTTTCATCAGCGATCTCCGATCGCGCTCCTCTCCCATACGTTCCCGCAATCGAGAGCAAATGGCAGAGGCTCGAGTGGCAACGCATCGCTGCATGTCTTCTTTTTTTTTTTTTTTCGCGTTTTTCTTTTTCATACCGATTACGAGCCGAACTTGACCTTTGCACCTATTTTTAACTCGCTCACTTTCGTTAAAATCCGTGAACAAACCGGCGATTGCTGGTAGTGCGATAATCTCGCAAACGGTACGGTCCTCCATTCACTCCCTCTTATAGACACGAGTCAGGGGAGAACGCGCCTTTGCCATCCAAGCAGAACAACAAGTTACGATAACGTCAAAATGACGTTAAAATTAATCGTTACCGATTGAAAAGTGATTCTTAATAATCGGAGCTGTTTTGAATGTCGTAATGACTTGTGTTCTGCGTGGACAAATCCTTATTTTCTAATTCTCGAATTGACACGCAGCTACACGTGTCTCTTTCCTCTTCTCTTCAGCAAAAATAGTACTGCTACATATATATATTTATACGTTATAATCATTAATTGATAAGCAGATGAGATGAGAAATTACATACACGCATACATATACACGCTCTCTTTCACATTCCATGCGTGGAATATCGTATTGCTAATCTCATATTCATTAATATATTACGACGCGAAGCAAGGTAATGTAACAAGAGAATTTACGTAGCTCATTGCCGACGAGATTTCGCCGATCAGCCGCGTGTGAAATAGATATCGCGCGCAGATACATTGTTCTCCAATAAATAATATCACACTCCACACACAATTACTCACGAAATAGAAATAGGTACGATCTCTGGGATTCGTTCGCGGATCTCCTCTTTGGCACATTTTATTTCTTCTCGGAGACGCGATCAACGATGAGATTCAGATACTAGCTACACTTGTAACTCTTGCAGTTGCATCACGAGTTAAGGATGAATTGTGAATTCTTCATGATCCTCGCGATGTTTGAAGGGTAAGCTACATAGGATAGTAGGCGAAACAGAAGCGATCTCATTGTCAGGACAAGAGATAAGCTCCCGCTTTAAGGATTAATCCTATTGCACTACCGCCAAGGGTGGGTTATGCTGCGTCCTGATGACCTCTGCGACGCGCCTGAACGGCAATTGCAGGTGATAGTAGGCGCAGTAGGGCAACGGGTCCCAATACACGAAAAGGGATTCTCTCTTGTCCAGCACTGTGCCGAGTAGATGGGGCGCGGTCTCGCTGGTCGATTGTTTGAGGGCACTCACCACGGTATCGGATAGCAGTTGTCGGGTCGACGTACTTAGTAACGCTGAATTCTGCCTGGAGAAGTGTCGGCAGGGTTTCCACACCAGACGCGGATGTATCCCCGTGTGACAGATGTAGGGCAGGCTCACGCCAACCCGGCAGCCGATGGACACCAGCTCACCCGTCTCCTCCGACACTGCTAATCGGAAGCTCATGTGACCGTTGATCCTGCCGCCGAAGGGACGGGCGAAGAACTGTTCGAGCCATCTTATAATCTCGGGACGTTCTTCTGGTATGAGGCCCCGGTCTTCGTCCACTCGGCAGGTCACGTTCGTCACTATCCGTGACTCTTTCAACGTGGTGCACGTGATGAAGTGATCTCCACCGGGGTCGCGGATTACCACCCACGGTCGCCTCTCGCTGATCTCGTGTTGATTTCGAAACTCCCTGAAAGTGGGTGGTAGCAAGATCTTGGCGCGATCACGCATCCCTGCGGGACCGGCGGCTAGCATCATGTACCTGCCGTTGCGGAACGTGTTTCGCTCATAAAGCGTGGATAAGTCCTGCATTGATCGCAACAGAAAGTGTTGTGGGATCGTAAGACCGAGCATGCGACAGCGTCGTAGTAGCTCCAACGGATCGTCCAACGCGGTCACTTCGCTGGCATCGGGTACGAAACACTCGCAGCCCATGATCTCCAGATGCGGTTTCGCTAAGGCATCGTAGTATGCGGTACTGGAGGCACTCACCGGTATGTAGTAGGCCACTCGTTCGCGCTGGACGATATCCCGTAACGCCTTTATATACTCGACAATGTTCCTGGGCCCGGGTCGCGGTATCGTGTAGTACTTGGAGCAGGCGGTGGAGAATCTGGCCAAGCCGAACAGGCCCTCGAGGTCACACACTATCACCCGGGCGCCCGCCTTGTAGAAGTTGCGTGCAAGATGCACCGCCTGCACTGTGCTACCGCCGCTGATCAGCACACACCGCTTGTTACGCGATCTCTCATACGCCGGGGTGTGCAATACCGTGATGAACCATTTAAGAGCGGTCAGTGGTAGTTGCAGAATCACCCAGAACAGGCAAATCCAAGCGGATGCCCAGAGAGCAGGAGCCCAGATCGCGTAGCCAATGATATTGAAGACACTTCGAAATAGACTCGACAGAAGTCCGAAATACCAAGACAAGATCCTCGAGAGAATGGAATCGTTGCTCCTTTCGACGTGCCGATTATCTGCCGCTAGCGTACCCTGCTGATGGTGATGTTGTTGCTGCTGTCGTTGTTGCTGTCGTCTCTGAGAGAGTATCGCCGTCGATATACTCGAGAGTGACGACGCCCGGGAAAGGCTGTTCGGTGCATGGGACGTCGACACAATCACATTTGACGACGTACGCTTCAACATAGAGACAGGCGACATTCGGGGTGGCGATGTGGATAATGGTGTGCCGGGTAGCGGCGGCGACGCGCTGCTGCTACGCGACATCGGCGGGCTGGAAGACCATAATCTAGACGAGCTCTCGCTCGAGCAGGCGGGCATCTTTGTGTTTCCTGTTCGATGTTTCACCTTCGGAAACTTTGTCCAAAAGAATTACGAATTAAGGAGCCTAACTGATCGGTAGAAATCCTTATATCCAGGACTCATACCTCAGTCTTGGGAAATAAACGTCAGTTATTTTAACGAAGAAAGAGGACGATGAGATGCGAGATTATTCTTCCCGAAGGTCGATTGTACTCTAATTACAAGTAGAAAAGAAAATATCTCTCTTTTTCAGATGTGGCGATAAAAGCGACTAGATGACACAACATACACGAAAATTAGGGCGATGCTATTGCTGACATCAATCGCGGAGAAAGTACTCGGGCTGACTCCCGTTCTTAATTGTCGGTTTGCACACGCAGCTTTAACTGAAGCTGGGTCTCGAGTATCCCGGTCTCTTATGAGGTCTGCATCTCCGACGTACTATGAACCGGAGCCTTATCTAATCGTCGCGCCTCAGACACTGCAACGAAAAGAAAGGAATCGCGCAAAATATGTCGTGTCTGCTCTCGCTTTTCTCCTCTCTCTCTCTTTCTTCCTTCTTTTTTATTTCCTCCGTTCAAATTAATTACTCAAAGAGGAATGACGTGGAAAAAGACGGGGTCGAAAGAAAAACTCTTGGTGAAAAAATCAATTTATATATCGACTAACAATCTGATCGATCCGAACATTAAGAGGGTTTTTAGTACGTGCCATTATAACTAGCATTATAACTAGTGTAAATGACATATTTTATTGATCGTTCCCTGCCACTGAATTTGTGGATAATCATGTAATCAATAATTTTTATAATATTTATTATAAATATATAATCTCATTAAACTTATTTTAATGTTACTTTTATGTCAAAACTACTGCATCTCAATTACTTACACACTTATTGGATTGTTATCTTGATAAAATGAAGAATAAAAATGATAAAGTTAATCTGGATTATGATGAGACAATAATCAAAATGTATTTGCTCTTTTTATCACGCAGTTGTACGGGATGTGAAATAATATTTTGAGAAGATAACCCGTAATTATTTATCAAATAAACAACAAACCGCCATCTGTTGAATGAATGATGCTGTAATATTATTTCATAATGTTGTAATAATAATAATCATAATAGTATTAGCTGATATATTGAAAATATATTGATATATCATTTTATTTAAAGCGAGATCTGAAGATAAATTGTTATATTTACTTTCAGAACCAAATTATTATGTTACAATAATTTATAATATTAATAATAAATAATTTTCATAAGTTATTATTACATTAACCAAATAAAGAATATGAAGAACAGAAAAATAAGTAAATAAGAACAGAACAATAAAGAATCGAAATGAACTTAATCTGTGCATCAATGAAAAATAATTGTCAAATAAAATAAAGATAAAATTTTATTTATATTTTTTAATAAATAAAAAAATGTGTAAAAATAAAATATAAAAATGTAATAAAAATATTTTCGTATATAAATATTTTATAAATGTTCATCGTTAACTTTAGAGAGGATATATTATCGTTGTACATACGTGACATCCCCGTTTACTACAAAACTATATAAAAAAGCGAAAAAAAGACATTCAAGAAATTCTTAGGGATGTTGCTCTTCTTTTTGAATACACACAACTTTATTTCGTACATTTAGAATATACTTATCTTGTAAATTATATAATACGTTATGGTCTTATTTGGCTTAATGAAATACAATAATATACTGTCTTTAGAATTTGTTTGTTCTTTCTTTGCTGTTACGGCACTTGAGCCAGTACAAGTATAATCTCGACCACTATTTTCTAAATAAACGAAAGAAGTTATCGATCCTGTAGAGTTTCCGTATTTTATTCGAAATTTTAGTGAGGAGATTACATTCTCGAGGAAAGTCCATCAAAAGGCAAGACATTGAATTGACTTTCTTAATATTAATATACATTCAGCTTTATGTGCTATTCTGTTTATTCGCGTACACTGATCGTTATAATATGAACGAAGAGATTAAGATAAAGCAAACGACAAATTCTTTTTCGATTCAACGAAAAAGGAACAGTCTTTATAGTAAGAGAAGAAAGTAGTTTTGCAATTTAGCACAAAGTATTCGCAACGAAGTTTTGCTTTATGACATTTGATAAATTATTCTATTTCTCTTATTAGTTAAATAAAGATTTCTTATAACTTTGGCCCATTCAATGTAATTATACTAATCAAAATCTTCTCTTCTACTATACAATATTATACGAATATCAACTAACAGTCGCTCTCTCTTTAACTACATATATTTATATATGTATAATGTAATTGGTATATATATAGTATATATTGTATATATTATATATATATTATATTGTATATATTATATATATATTATATGTGTACACATGAAATTTTAAGCAATAAATATCTTTAGATGCTTTTCTCCATTCTATTTATATACAATTTCAAGTTTCTAACTGTATAATGCACAGTTCTGTTATTACACTATTCAAATCCATCTTAATGGATAGCAATCGTATCAGTGAAATGACGTTGTATCATTAGGGAAAAAATTCCTTCATACAGTGTTTAAAAAAATATTGTGAAAATATAATTTGCTAATATAATACCATTAATGAAATAATTGCTTATCGCAGATTCTTATGGAAACATTGTACGGTTGTTATACTACATATACATGTATGAAACATTAAAAGAACACAAGATCGTGTATTTTTAACAAAAAAAAATTCTATGTTATTTCATCAGAGTAACCTGCACAATAAATTACTATGATTTGTTTGCATACAGTAATAAGCTAAAAATTCATGTTGTAGCATAATAACAGTACAATGTAAAATATCTTTCAAAAGCATTGCGCTTTTATTTCTCTGTAAAATTATTTAATAAATTGTATCCAAAAATCTATATGATACCCAGTAAATGTATGCTATTTATACAATAATTATAAATAATACTTCAATTTTATCAAGGAAAAACAAATCCATTTTGTATACTTATGTATATGACTAGAGAAATTATATTATAGTTATAAACCTACAATGATAATGCCATTGCAATTTGTATTTAAGCTATACATATTATACTGTTATATATAACTTATGCATTTCCCTATAATTTTTGCACAACTTAGTTATTTACTTTATCGTTAAAATCCTTTTGGGGGGATTACTATTTCTTTTTTAAAAATAACGCGTGAATATTGGTGAACTATATTCTCAAAGAAGAATAATTCTACATTTCTTCTCTCAGCTACTTTTACGAAAATATATGTTATCAAATCACGCATATTTCATCTGATTTCTCCGTAACAGCCGTAAAAGTTCTACAGACTTCTCATTCAAATAGAAAGCAAAATGTAAATAATTGACGACGCGTAACTCAAATTGTGATGTGCAGAGTAACACAGATATTTCTTTTTATGCATGATAAAACAGTGATGCGTGTGCATAATTCACATGTAGAGTGCCAACATTCTATTGCATATGATCTGTATCGGCTACTTTAAGTCTATTTCGACTTTCTAGTCTTTCTTACATTCGAAGAATATTCGACAATGTTGTGCTTACAACACCTCGGTTTGCGTGTCAATGTACAGCAGCATGAAAAAAAAATCGAAATATATTCGCCTACAGTTTGTGATTGTATTATTAACTTCCTTCCCTTTTTGTCTTCTATAAAATTTGTGCTTTTACGGAAGTGGAGATGTACATATTATTAGAGAATACAAATAGAGTTGGTTGGTAATATAAATTTCGCAATTGTGATCGTAAAATCGATCTTGAAATTTGTAAAACTGTTCAAATATCTCGCGTTATTCCTGTTCTTCGCAAGAAACTTAAATAATTCTTAGAAAGTATCCATATTTATAACCGTTGAATATGTAGTGAACTTTATAAATTTCTCATACATAGAGACTCTAAAATTCACTTTGGAAATTAATCCCACAATTAGTTCCACGTATATAAGGATCATGGCACATTAATTTGTAACCCACAATCATTTGTATTTCACATTTATATCGCTGCTAATGATATTAGCTGGTGGACTTTACCTATTTGTTTATTATTTTTATCTATGGTTTTGTTTAGGTGTCTTATAATTAATAACATGTTACATAGATACGGTATTGTCTATTACAAAGTTATGATTTCTATATCTTTGGATAAAAGATCGGGAGTACATTGCAGTAATATATGTTTTTTTTTAATTGTAATACAATTTTTAAATAGCGATTGTATATATTGTATGCGCGATAGAAAAATCAAACGTATACAATGTATGATGAAACAAATAGTTATACGATTCTATCATAAAGAGATACTTTCCAATTCCCTTTAAAAATTATAAAATATATTATATATAAAGATAAAATAAAAACATGATACGAATGAAAAAAATACATAAAATAAGTAAATAATTAAACAAACAAAATTAAAAAATAAATTATATTAAATAAATTAAAATTGTAACTATTTTTTAATATAATTTAGCATTAAAATCTTTATTATTTATCAAAATACGAAATTATAAAATTAATAACCAAGGCTATAAAATATCGATATAATAACATAGATTAATATTTATTATTAGAGAATTAGTAAATAAAGATAGAGAAAAAATAAAATCACAGATTATATACCGCGGCATATACTTGATTTTATATATAATATACGATATATTGATAATCAAGATACAATATTACACAATAGATTAATTAGATATAATGTATTGTTACCATTTTGCGACTTGAATATGTATAAATATATATAAGAATTTTAATTAAGAAAATTTGGAAAGTACATCTTACCCCTTGATGCAAATCTTTAGGGTAACATATAATTTACAACTTAATTTATAATACAAATTGATTTCTTTTTAAACATAAGAGTAGAGAGAGAATAAAAAATTAGTATGTGTAACGTTTTACACAGTCCTGTCAATAAAAGGAAGTATATGTTAGATAGGTATAATACATAATGCATCTTATAAATATTAAAATTTCTCTCTCTTTCTCTCTGTTTCGCAATTTAATAATATTCTATCCGTAATTTGAAACAATCGACAAGGAATGCAGCCTAGCATTTAACATCTGTAATAATTATACCTTGTTGTTGTTTCAATAAAGTCGATTAATAATAGAAATGTTATCGGAAAGAATAAAAATGCAACAATTTTTACATAAATACGAATAAAATCATAAC